CCCCCCCTCCTCACCCTTCTTCATCTGCGTCAGGCCATACCGCATGCCCTGCGCGTCCCTCAGCCCCTCTGCGGTCTCCCTCTCTACCTGCGCCTGTTCGGCTTCCCTCTCTTCCCGCGCGGCCCGGGAGGCGGGGCTCTCGGCCTCGGCGTTCGCAACCACCTGCGGAAGGAGTTGACAGGAGCGTAAACATGTCAAATGCATCTCAAGTTTCAGAAACCTTTATAAACTCAGAGACCAATCCACGCCCATGCGGCCATTACGCAACGAGTCGCTCCTACCATCGCGGCCTCCTGGAAATCCATCCCTCCCTCCCTCCCTCCCTCCCTCCCTCCAACCCTCTATTCCTTCTGTTCAGTCACCTTGCGCGTCCCCAGCAGATCGATCGGGCCACTCATCCAGCTCATTGCAGGGTTGTGCACGGGGCGTGACGATGTCTCTTCGCTGCTGGCAGGGACCTCTTTGGTCTCTTCCTTCTTCTGTGTAACGGCAGCACGGTCACCAGGATGGGGAGGAGCAGAGGGGTGGAGGAACTACCATAATGTCTTTGATGCGGGCGCTCAAGCACACATGGCAACATAGCACCCTTCTATGCATAGGCATGTGCATCATGTTGCATGCATCGTGAAAGCAAGGACTCCGGTGGCGCGTCCCCTCCCCACCCCCCGCCCTTTATCAAAAACTCACCTTGCCGAGAAATTTTATCCCAGAAAGAAGACCGGACATTCTCTCTGGTGTACGATTTCGGCAAAAATCCTTCTATTTAATCTACAAGGAGGAATGGACGGGAGGGAAGAGAGTGAAGGGCAGTTGTTGCAGTGTAACAGCTGAACTTCCCAGACCCGTGAGGCGGCTTGTATGTTCTTTACCTCCTCCCACGCGGGGGCACGTACACTACTGGAAATTGACTAGGGCGTGACACCAGCCCGAATTTAATGGGAGGCCTGAGACCTGTGTCATTTTCGTAAGTGTCTCAATTGTATTTTTCTGAAAGTAAAGGCCAAAGGGGACTTCAAAGCCATTTACTCGTCTGCATGTTGCTTTTTTCCCTACAACATACCTCCTCTTGGAAACTTCCCGACGAGAACGAGAAGTGACAACCACGAAGAAAAGCATTACACCCGCATACGAGTGATGACCAGTGACACTCTCGTGTGTGTTATCCGGCCTCGTGTCTGACTCGTGTCCCCTTCGAACCGTTTTCTCTCACTCCTCTTTCCCCTCCGTCCCCTCCTCCTCTTCCTTGCCCTCCTCCTTCGGCCAACCCCCCTTCTCACCCACTTCCTTCACCACCTCAAAGAGTGCACGCATTCCTTGTGCGTCTCCGCCCTCGGGGCGGCCTGTTCATGGGAATGGTGGGAACGAAAGTCAACACGTCACGTATCCACATTCAATTCCCTTCTGCCCTTCTACCTTTGCATCCCCCCCCGGCGGCTCGCTTCCCTTCCATGCTTACCTGGGCGTCCCCCATTATTGGAACCCATGAAATCCATGTGGATCCAAGGCGTGGCCTTGTGCTTCTGAAGCGAGTTCCCAGGAGATGATCGTTTCTGCAAAAATTCTTCCAAATAGAGCGCTGCAGTGATGCTC